GATGTTCCTTTCACGGCACCTTTGAACCTTCGAAACGAATCCGTCTTTGTCGTCAGCCGCTTCCATCGAATTTTTGTCGAGTTTTTCTTTTCTTTAGTATCTATTTTCGTGTTTTTTCAACAATTTCGATTCGCTCTTCTTCCATCTAATTTCGGAGTTAAATTCTATCGTTATTTTCTGACGTCTTAATGAATAGTTGATTGTAAAATAACCAGCAGTATCCGCATTAGCAACAGTCAATTATTAATATATATATTGTTTAAAATTTAAGTATAAAAATATTTAAAAATCAATCCTGCATAATTCACAATGAGTGAACGTGTTCAATTTTGTTCGGTTTCACGTGAAACTGCTGAAGCAAAAGTGGTCTTTGAGATTGATTTTCTGCAAACAACCGAGTTAATAGCTGTTAGGTATATGAATACTTAGTTTTAACCAAAATAAAAGGCTATTGAATAAATAAATATTCGCGAGAAATAAAACTTTTAGTATTGCAGTTCGTTTAACCGAAAACATTTTTTTCTCTCATGATGCTATATAGGTTTTAATTCTGCAAAACAGTAATATAAAAGTTAACATTATCTTCAATTTATAAAACTCATTAAAAATATACAAAAAATAAATGTATAAAATAACCTTTTACCTTATTATATAATATATACCGTATAAAATATGTAATCAACTTTAATACGTCAATCTACCTATATATTTATATATATTTTCATTAATCAAAACTATTGGGAACGCTCCAAAAATAATAAATTATTTTTTATAGCAGTTACGATATTTATAATTTACTTTTATCGGATAAGTGGAGCATTTATATTTACTTATATTTTACATGTAACCAGTTCTGCAGTATTTTGATTTTTATGAAGTTGTGGAATATATTCAACACACTCAATGAACTGATAATGAACATCAGTAATTTTTCATTCAACAATCGAGATTAGTATTCAATCAAATGGCTCCACTTGTTTATGATAAACGTACAAAACAGCTATATTTGTGATTTAAATTTTTATCCCATCATAACTTGAGTAATGCATTTTTTAAAACAACCGCTAATGAATCGCAATAAGACAACACGCGGCTTTAAAATTATTATTTACATTTGGGGACGAAATTTAATCTCGACTGAGAAAAGGTTTCGCCTCTATTGATTTTAATTGTTAATTAATCAACATTTCAAAATTATGTATATTTATTTATAATTTTTAAAATATTGAATTATCTGACAGTTCCGTTTAATATGTGTAAAACAATTTGACTCAGTCTTTGCTGTATTGTGATCCTAATTCATTTGGTTTGGATTTCAATAGCGGTTAAATAAAATTCTCTCAGTTTGAGATTTTGTATTCATAAAGTACCTGTTAAGGACCAGAACCGTAACTGAAAAGAACCGCTACTGGAACCGGTTAATCTTTAAAATTTAAGAACTGTAACTGAAACTGGAACCTTTATTTCCTAAAATGAAAAACCGTAACCATAACCGTAACCTTAATTATAAAAAGATTAATTTAGGTCAGTTATTTATATTAGTCAAACTATGGTAATGACTATTTTGTCTGTCCATTTGTCGGTTCAGAAAAATAAAAGTCAAATATTTTTATGTTTTTATTATTTTGTGTTATAAACTGTAATAGTGTAATGCATATAATAAGTAAATTTGTAATATTATTATTATTTTTGTATGTTTATTAATATATTACAATTTACAATGAGTATATCATCTGTCTATTAAGTATTAAATATAATTAATGTTCACAAAAAAAAAATGTAGCTAAAACAGTAGCCAATATTGACTTTGATTCCCAGTTAAAATTGAATTTTAAATTTAAAATATTTATTTCGTCAAATCATAATATTTCACAATACTACAAAATATTTTATAAAATCTTACTATGAGTTGGAACAAAATAATTTAACCTAACTCAAAGAAATATAATAGGGTGATATAATATATATATATATATATTTAATTTATTTATAACTATTTTTTTTTACTATTCGTAATACATTCTATTTTCATGAAATGAAACAATTACAATTTAAACAAGAATAAATAAATAATTTTATTTTTTAATAAATCTCTAATAATCAAAATTAACCGAAATTAACCGGTTCTAGAACCCTTAATCTTTTAAAAAACCGAAACCTAAACCGGAACCGAAAAAACCTATAAGTTCCAGTCCCTGGTACCTGTATACGAGTAAATACTATTTATACAATGATTTTAGTTAGCTACAATATACTGGGAGAAAAGTTCTTAGTACGAGTATAAGTAGTCAGTATGCCTATATAGTAAAAAAATAGTAAAATTTTTAAATCATATTATATACGTGTAATTATTATCGTTAACTCCGAGTAGGATTATATGTATGGTTGATTGTTAAAAAGTGTAAACGAATTTAAAAAAAAAAAATATGAAAGTGTTATACATTATAAATTACGGCGATGTGTATATAATAAAATTTGTGATTAAACTTAGTTCAACATAAAAGTTTAATCTCAATTTGTTTTTGTTATATTTTTTTTTTTTTTTTAGTTTTCTTATGCGTCACACAGAGTCATAAAACAGTGTAGTAGAATTACACTGTCCCAGACATGAACTTCACTTTCTTATGCATAATATATTTTTGTTAAAATGAACTTCTGAATATAAACGTCACGCTGGTTGAAAAATGTGAAAAATGTGAGGAATGAGTATATAATTTTACGCAACACACGTTCGCGTTACCCAATGTAGTATGAAATATCGTAAAATTATATACGTATATTTTTTTTTTTTAAATAGTCAAAAATAGACGGATCGCATGGAAATCGTTTTTATACGTGATGAGTCATGTCAAACACTTGGCAGTCATTCTTATTATGAACTCCGACGGGGCTCTAAACAATTATTGTTAAAAAGTATATTTTATGGACGTAGTAATTTTTTAAGTAGAGGGAAGAAAAACTATAAATCACCGGGTTGTGCGGTGTTGTCACGCTGCAGCTTTCTTGTGAAAACAACAATTAATTTATAACGAAAATATACGAAAAACAAGGAAATAAGAAGCAATTATAAAAGGCGCTGAAACAAATACAATTTAAATTACTACTATAATACTGTATTCGTAAAGCAGAATAAAAAATATAACACAAGAACAACCGTTTTTAATATTATTATTGTTTTTTTTTTATTTTTTTATTATTGTTATTTTCTTATTGTACGTTATTCGATTCACAAATGTATCATTAATATATGTTATAAAATATTATAATACATTCACAATAGTCTAAAAATAAACACAAACAAAACTTGAAATTAACATATATATATATAGGTACAAATATTATACATTATTATTTATTTGTTAAAATTATTTTCTACTTGACAGCCGAAAATGGATTATAATAAATAATTATTTACGCTACGGGGAAAATGTGTTTCGACAAAATAACATCTAAAAACGTTTCAGGCTCGGTCACGATCATTTAAGGTACAACAACAAGACACTACCTCATATATATCCCAAAAAATATATTATTTCCATATAATATAATTGTAGTATTAGACAATAAGTACGATCAAATTTGATTTAACGAGGAGCATTTCTTATTATTATCATAATACCTACATACGAGTATACACAGATTAATTCGTTTTGATACGATTTATATTGACGAGAACGCGGGTCTGAGGTTTCCAAAAACATTGCACAGCGATTCCTCTGGCACAGTAGTTTTATATTCAACTATTTGTTTTCTGCGTCACTTTTATCGCTGTCCCCTTCATCCAATGAATAATGAAAAATTTACATAAAAAATTGAAAAATGTCGTTTTATGGACTTGGTTCGTAATCATGGTAATGTACATTATGCCGTATTATTTTTAGTATTTTTTTTTTTTTTTTACAGCGATGTGATGTATGACAACACAATCGCGGTTCTTCGCGTTTTCGTTTATGCGTACATTTCCAAAAATATCCTTCGAACACTTATTACAATACACACTTGGCAACGTGACAAATGATACCTTCTTGAATATTTTCTTAAGCACACGAGATTTGATGTTTTTAATTGGGTGATGACATAGTCTGCTGTTGCTGTATAGAAGAATAGGATTTATTTACTATTGCTACACAAACTTTTTCGTTGAGTTTATATTAAATCTTCCTTAGACGTAGTTTTGGCGTAAAATCGCATTACAAACGCAATATTCAAACTTTTGTTAGCAAGTAAACGCGGTATATCTATAAAGATCCGTATTTTATTATTAGTGCCGTACATTAGTAGTTTTATGATGTTTTATTTTCGTATTGTTTTTAGCGTTAATCCAGAAAAATCAAGTACTCACGAGCTGTGTAGACGATAAAAGTGTGCTACACCACGCGTCGTTGTTTTTATTGAAAAACTATCTTTCGAGAGAGTAGATCTGGTATTAAAAAATGTAGTTATTGCCAGTAACACTTTGCGAAAAATACACGTGATTGTCGCCACAGAACCGGAGTTAGTTGTCAGACGATTGTCTTTTTATTTTCCTTTCCGCATAACTACATATTTTTTGTGCTGTTTAATTTTGTCCATAACGAGGTAACTTTTATCGTATAAAGGATGACTCGACGAAAAACCTAAATATAACGCGATATTATTTATAATGTTTTCGAAACTACACTCATAGGCTGCGCGCTGTATAGCCAGCTGGCACCAAATTTCGTCTGATCACCCACCCTGTACACGTAAATACTAACACGCGGTGCATATAATACTACTATAAATACAAATATTTCATCGTTCCGCGGTATTTTCTTCCCACGAATATTTTTCGTAACGCTCACGAGGTCGTAGCGCAACATCGATTCGGAAGAATATTGAATCACGTCGATCCGTTTGCGATATTTTATATTATAACGTATACAATAAACACGTACTTATGTGTACGAGTGATATAAATTATAACTATAGTTAAAGGTAAAAAACGCGTTTAGAAACTATAAAAAAAAAAATTTTAAAAAAAAATAAAAAAAATGAAAACGATTACGAAAAAAATAATATACATGCAATAAACCTTTCCTTAATAATAATAGTCAGGGCTCGGATTTGAATGCATTTGCATACTATTATTATTTTCAAACCAATTACACGATCGGTGCGCGATTCTTTCCGAAAACGACAAATGTATTTTGACTTGTAGACCGCGCTCGTCGCGAATCATAAGATCTATAACTGCATCAGTTCGGGGTGTTTTTTTATGTCGGTTTTCGAATTTCGAAAGAAGTTTTTCATTTTTAGATAATAGTTTATCGATCTCATACGAAATCGTTTAAAATATAATCGCGTACTGGGAAAAATATTTTCTGTTTTATTGGGTTAAAACAATAATTATTGGACTACTATTTAGACGCATAATACTTTACGCGGTTTTATGCATTGTGTTTCTGTGTTGAAGTATTGCAAATCCGAGCTCTAATAATAATAGTATATGACATCGTATTGATATTTATATATATAATTTTTTTTTTTAATCTATTTATGTATATATGTACAAAACGGAGATTTTAATAGTAATAGTCAATAATAATAGTGCGATTTTGAAGTTTTTGAAAGGAAGTTTCCCAGGGACCGCTGTGTAATTGGAGGAACAGAGGAACTAGGTTAGAGGTTAGAACAGAACGTGATTGGACCCTGTCGTACCGGGGCCCGGTCCCCCGGTGACTTTCAGCGAGTCGGAACCGAGAAGGTAGCCAGCCGGACCGGCGGCCGCGGCGGCACCCAAAAGGCTGAACGGATGATGGGCGAACTGTTGGTGATGCGACGGAGAATGATGGTGATGGTGATGGTTATGGTTGTGCGAGCCTCCGTTGCCACCCCCGCCGCCGTTCATCTTGTGTGCGGGCGAATTATTTCCGGATCCGTTGCCGCCCCCGCCGCCGCCCGCGCCACCACCCCCGCCGCCACCGCCGCACTGCTGCTGAAGCTGGTGGTGCAGTTGCGTGTAGTTCTGACCCTGGCCCAACAGCCATTTGTTGTTGTTCACTGCTTCCGATTGTTCGGACATCTTGATAGCTGGATAACAAAAAAAAATAACGCACTCCATGAATTTCAAATTTAATTTGTCAAGAAATTGATAGCAAGACATTTCGATTCCGAAAAATAATAATATTATATTTCGAAACATAACAATTAGAAATTTCGACCGGGAAGGAAGACTATTTTTTGTTCTTAATTTTACGTCAAATCGGATTTATTGTGTGCAATAGATTGATATTATCGGACCATTAATTGTTTTCGTATAACATTTTAAAGGATTGATTAGCGTTAATATTTGATACACGGTTCAGTTTAAGTTCCTCGATTCTGTCTCTATACTATTATAAAAAAATCTGTTCTATAGCTACAACTATGTAACTCTACGATAACTTTATAACTTTGTGCCAACAATCTATACGTGGAATAAAATTATGATTCTCTTCATTCTTATTCGAACATAAAATAAATATGTACTAAGCATTATTATGAACAATATATTATAGTCTTAAAAAAAATAGCTTGCATACGATTTTTGACTGTTTTAAATGTATTTTCAATCTTTAAATACTTAATAATTAAATAAATTCTTTAAACACTATGTACTTAACAAAATTATATAAACCTATACCAATGGCAGTATAATGTATTAATAAATAATTTTAAAAAATGACATTTTTATCGTCAGTGTTAAAGCTATTAAACTCAATGTTTAAATAATGAATTTCAAGGGGAATGTGATCGATAAAATTAAAACAATTAAATTTACGAACGTCGTCAAACTGTTTTTTGTCCAATTAAAAAAAATAATAATAACAATAAACACTTCGTACCTGTACTAGCACCCATACATTTTAGTAATTTCTCGGAGAGTCAAGATGTATACATTTTTTTTTTTACCTTACGACAAAAAAACGATTAATTAAAGCATTTATTGAGAATAGTTAGTTATGTAAGTTTTGTGTTACCACACCATTGTTAAAAATGTTATTTTTGACATGGATATGTTATTCCGAAAAATTGTCGCGACACTGAGAATGTTGTTTATGTGATCATTTAAAATTTTATGTTTATAAAATATGTTTATTCTTTTAAGAAAAAATATGGTAAATTTTGAGTGAATCTAATAAAAAAATTGTTTATTACAATGTAGTTTTTATCTTTTTTTAAAATTATAAATCATTAAAAAAGTTGAGTTTCTTATTTCTCTGATGGTGTAAAGACAGCCGAGAAGTCTTATAGTGTTAAAGTAATTTTTGTTGTAATAGTGTGCTTCCTCCTTCTTTCTCCCCAAAAATCAAATACATGATCGGCCCCCTCCGAAATGAAAACCTATATACGCCACTGTGTGTTATGGTATCATTCTAAGTGTTCATCAAAATGTTTTTTTTTTTTTTTTTGATAATATAGATTCAACAGTGTTTACATCATCATCATGTTTTTATCCGTAATCATGACTTAATCTTAAACGCTCTATAATGTGATTCATGAATATGAATAGAATATGCCGAAGAACCGTAATTATGTTTATACCAATTTAACTGCTCCTTTTAATTAATTATGGAAATCTGAAGTGTCAAAAACCTTTATAAATTATCCTATATACTTTGATATTATAGTGTCACAAAAATCGAGTTACAAAGGTGATTTGCTTTTATAACAAATATAAAGCGATAGAAATAAAAACACGTGTTGGTCTATTAAAAAAAATAAAAGTATGTAGTTATTTCTTCCTATTCAATTTACGTAAATGCTTTTGTTAATGCACTAACCTTTTTATAACGGGTATAATTTTGTTTTTATTGTTATAGGCATCAAAACAACGCTTAAACTCCAGATCGTGTCATGTTTATGCGTTCGTAATGCGTGTACGTACATACATAAAACGAGTTATTACCATTAAAAAAAAAAAACCCCTGCTTAGACAGTAGATTGATACAATGAGAACGAATATTAAATAAATAATTCACCCACAAAAGAGTTGTAAAATCCCGCCACCTAAGATCCATATAAGCGTACAATTCATAAAAACCTGAAATCATACAATGTTGCATTCGTTATGAGATCCGAAATCAAACTTTTATGAAATCATTACGACGGAATCATAATAAATGTATACACCGCGCTTATAATCCATTATATATATTAATTGAAGTTATTCGATACGTATATGCCATGTAAATTCATTTCACGGTTTCGCCGTTAACACAAGACAATTGCTTAGTGCTAAATATTTATCAACTCGCATATGTATAAGTATAGACAACGTTGAATCTCGTATAAGAAATACGAGCGAATTGTATTACGAAAAATGGAAACCCCATCATATAATAATTTATCGTCGTGAGTATCGTTACAACATCATTATACCGTTTTTAACTCATCACGTTATAGATAAATAGATCAAACGCTTGAAAACAAAGTGTATGATATGATTATACTTTACACAAATTGTTGTAAAATATGTTCTCGAAATATAGTATGGAAGGCGCGAATTTCGATCACCTAACATTAAAACAATTACTACAGTTTGCTACTATTCAATCAAATTGTACATTTTTCTTCATAACTTGAAAACTAGTTTTTGCGAAATGGACAAAGTATAAATTGTGTTACGTAAATTATGTTTATTAGCAATCGGTTTCGTCCTTAGTTTGAGTTCATAAAATTAAATAAACTATACAATTAAATTAAGCGCAACGATGTAAGATTGTACATGTAACTATTGGTTATAATAATTTGGTTTTTTTTATTATTCACGAATCACTACAACCAACCGATAAACTTAAGTATATTGCAGGGGTGGGCAACTGGCGGCATATGTATATATACGTATAACTTTCAAACATAACTGTTTGTACCGATCTATTTAACTTCGTATCATTCGTGTCGCGCTATCGCGTGTGTTGAATTTATTACTTCGGTGTATAAAAATGCTAATTGAAATTCATCTTTTTTTCCCCTACGTTTTGGCCTGTAGGATTTTAATTTTCTAAAAATTAGCCGTCTAGTAACTTTGAGTTGCCCGTCCCCGGCATATTGGACCGACGAGTTTAGCGATGGCGATTTTCGATTGATGTCGAATCCGACGCGTTGTACACTTGTTGCCGCGTTAAGGCGGGTATCGACTACGCGCGCGCCATGTTCGTCCGCGGCAAACCGGACACATGTGCCGCCAGAGCCATATTTAAGCATCAACTTTTATTAGATCGCGACAAGCGATCCAGCTGTTCGCCCGAGCGATCCGAATTGAAATAAGACGCTATTCGTTATCCATCATGCCGCGAACGAACTTCAACGACAAAACCGTCCCAACCGCTCGCGAGCAACCAACTGAAACTCCTTTGCCGCGGTGCCTAAATGCCGACGGGATTTGGGTCGCGCGGCAACGCGGCGGTATCCATTTGTCGTGGCAGCCGCGCGACCCAATGTTCGAGGGTTTGCCGCGCGCAGTCGATACCCACCTTTACAGTTTTCTAGCGCGCGAGCGGGGAACGGGTTGGCGGACTCCCGGTGCTGCGCGACTGCTCGTGACTACCCCCCACCCACACTCGATGCGCTACGCAGCGTACGGACAAGTACTCGGCGGAAAACTTTCGGGAAAACGTCGTCCGGCGACGGCTAGAGCACGGTGTAGCGGCTCTGTGATTTATCAACGCGCACTCCGCGGCCCGTCGTGCACGCCTTTTTCGGTCGACGACGATAAATAAAACCGTTCGACGGCGAGCGCGCGCGTGATTTAAAACACTCGGCGCTGCGACGGCAACGGGAGGGACGATCGCGCACGCATCGAAGTGTTCACGGGTCGAGGGGGAACGGAGTACCTATTATCTTAGTTAACTTTTGTAATCACCACTTCTCCCCCCCCCGCCACGGATCGTCGTGTTCGCTGTCAATGCGGATCATCGAGGACCAGGCTTAGGGGGTTCTAGTCGTTTTCCGGCCCGTCTTTGAAACAATTTTTCTCCGTCTCTCGCGCCCCCCAACGCCAACGATGATCGTCTTCCGCCCCTTGTCCCTTGCTCCACCACCACAATCCATCCGGCCCTCGAGCGCGGTATGTGTACGTGTACTTGGTGTATACATGTGTATAGCGTGCGCGCGCGTGTACATATGTGTCCTACGGGTCGCCTGACACTAATGGAAACGAACGACGTAACCAACAGCAATTTTCTAGATTAAACGTCACGGCGTTTTACGTCTCTCCGGCGCGGTACACGCGCGCACGCTCACCCGTTTTAATGCGAGCGCACGCCGTGCGGCAACGGTAGAGGACGGGACCGGTGTGGGTGTGGCCTCGAGGGGATGGAAAGTGTGCGCGCACGTGTGTGCCGGCTGCAGAAAGACGTCTCTTCGTGCGGGCGCTTTTGATCGGCCGTAGAGAGAGGGGGTGAAGCGGAATCGGCTAGGTCGGCCTACAAGCTCTCGCAGCACTGCAACGGCGTCGTATCCCGGAATCTCCTTTCTTGTTACACGATTTTTTCGTCTACTCGCAGCACCAACGTCACCCCTCGTCCAGCAGCCGTTTACCGCCCCGCGTGGTCCGATCGCCGTCCCCGGACGTCCTTCGTACGTCTTTATACTTCAGATTTCCTGTCGGTCCCCGAAAACGATCAGTCATATCTCTTGTACGGTGGACCCGACCCTCGCGAAATGATTTTTCTCCACTCTGTCCGGATCCTATTCTCCCCTCTGCTATTCGCACCACGAAAATATCGTACGATATACGTTTTCAATCTCTTACCGTGACCATGTCCATTTGTCATAAGGCGCCCTGTTGCGCCCCCGTTCCTCCCCGCATTAATATAATATTATCGTTGTATGCGACGTAAGCAGACCCGCCCGCGCGCAACCGGTAGCCGATTGTAAAACGCATTTGTCCCCCTACTACGTCTCGTCCCTAGAAAAAAAAACCGCCTCGTAGTCCTGTCCATATATTTTAACTCGCTAAATATTTATATAATGTACTTTAGTTTCGGTGTCAACTTTCACTGCGTTCCGATTCAGCGAAATCCCAAGATAACTGTACATATATCGTTATGTACGTTATGCCTTCGACGGTCTCGCTTTATATGCGCATCTTTCTATAAATTATTTTTTTTCCACTTGCACAATATTACGTGGAATACGATGTTTTCGTTAATTTAATCGTGAATTTCGAAAAGGGCCCGATTATCAAAATAGATTTTGCTACGTTTTTACAGACCGATATTTTATGAGCGAGAAGTGCACACATCTTTATTTTATTATGATGAATGAATTAAATATTGTTAATTGCTGAAATAAAGAAAATAGTTCAAAAGAAAAGCAGTTTTTTAAGTTTCTTGAAAAATATTAATTTTCAGATATAAGTCCTTTTCTAAATTCAACTAAATTATCATTTCCATTCTATTCTCAAGTTACAATGGTAGACAAACAAAACAATATATTTATGGTATAATATCCGGATTGAAATAAATATATCATTAAAATAATATATTTTATTATTAATAATGTTTTCAAAACTGGTTAATACGACGTAAATTGATTTTTACTGCTTTTTGGCTGATATTATAACGAATAATAATTTCTAATAAATACAATTACCTGAAAATAATTTGTTTCTGATGATATTACTTTCTAATTGAACACCGTTGTAAATTAATCGATATATAATGTATAATAAATATATACATAATATGTATATATTTATTGTATTTTATTATATTTTAAACATTGACAATACAACTAAATAGTCTTTTGATTACTGTGATTAGGCGAAATTATCTTTGTATGTATTTGGTTAAGATGTATCTCACATTAATGATGGCTAACCATGGCTGACCGGAGTTTGGACAATAATGACCGTATTCAACGAGATCAAATCTACCTATCAAACGATACAAAACTTTTAAGTTCCTCAACGCACCTATTGGCCAAGTTAAATTAATAAAAAAAATACGTCATATCATGGATAGAGGTATGCGTGTATACATTTTTTGAGGATAATGTTTTTATTTTATAATTTTTTTTACCTGATCCGTTGACTGATTTCATGTCAGTCGAACCATTATTGGAGGATATACTGCCGGGTGTGGATGGTGTGCCGGGTTTGACGTCTTTCGGTTGACCGCACTGTTTCGGCTCTGTTTTTATGCTAGTCGTGTCCACCGTGCTGCTGCTACTGGACTGCGATGACTTTTGTTGAGCTAACCTTTCTTGTTTTCGAAATTTCGCCCGACGGTTTTGAAACCATACCTATATAGGTAAAAAAAAAAAACTTAACGAATTAGTTTCGATCAGTAACACGCGATATAGAGAAGTACGCTACGAACATGATAAATATCATTGACTGTGCAGATGTGAATTATTTATATTACGTCTCAACTGTACAAAACCGTATAACTTTTACATTCCTATCCAGAAGTTACATATTTGGTTGTGGGGTGTAGGTATTATCCTCGTCGAGTCTACTTGTGAGTGACCCTTGAGGCATTCGCTGTTTTATTTGGTATTGTACTACGACACGATTGTACGAGTACAACACGAAGTGGAGTGGTTTCGAAATAGATGTACGTTCATATATATATATATATATATATATATATATATATGTATGTATTTATACTGTACACGATGGAACGGCATCAGTAAAAGTCCGTCATCACTATTTCCATCACCACTCACCACCCACTGTTAATCAACGAGAGCGTTGCCACCGCCGCCGGTATGTATTTGGTCCGTTTTTAAAAGGTTATCTTTTTGTCCTAAACAAACAGCGCGAAACCCCTTGGCGGATAAACTTCACGCAAAAGTCCGTGGGTCTTGTGTACGTACTTGCGCGACTGCTGTTGCTGCTGTTGTGCAAAGACAGTGTACGACTAGAGATGCACGCGGGTGTATTGTTTTTTCTCTCTTTTCCCCCCTTTTTTTTTGTTTTTCCAACGTCCCCTGCTTCTTGTGTACACACTACCACACAACTCTATACACTTTACACTTTTCAGCCTTGCATCGCAAAAACCTATTTCTATAGCAGTCCCGATCTATACATATATATTTATGTATGTGTGTGTGTGTGTGTGTGTGTGTGTGTATAAATGTATACGTGATGTTTACTTTATACCTCTTAAATCCAATAAAGTTCGGTTCCGTTTAAACACGCGAGCAAGACCTTTGATTCGCGGACAAAAGCAGCAGTGGCCTTTTAATAAAACTCGCGCGTAAAAAGCCGACGACGACGATTCCATGTCTATTTATTTCTCTTTTTTTTTTTTATTATTTTTTATTTGTTTATTTATTTTTTTTATATTCATTCCGTTATTATTTTCGACTATCTTACTTGCATGGTTGTGTTATCATTTGTTTCGTTTAAATAATTATGAAGGTACCCATACGTGCACATTTATTCAAATGTATCTAAGTACAGTTTAATATAGTTATGTATAGTTATTTTTCTCCAACGTCACATAAAGTATGCTTTACGTGATATATTAGCATAAATTTTATATTGCCTAACATCGAAATATTATACACCCATAGTTTTTATTAATTATTTCCTCAACCCGACCAATCTTCATAATTTCCATATACTAAACGATGAGTATAAACGTACAGAAAATACTCTTTAATATTACAAATACGATATACATGTAATTCGTGTATTATTTTTTTGTTTCGACAATATACTTTATTGTATACTACATTACGTTTAATATAATAATGCTCCCATAGATGAGTTTAAAAAAAAAAAAAAAAACTAGTCGAACCCGGATGGAATAAAGATGTAAACGTAGATGATGGTGCTTATTCACCACCCGAAATAGTATTTTTAATAATTTTCAAATCATTGGAAATATTTCTTTACAATATAAATATTCGCTGTAATGTTCCTTGGTGGAACTAATGGCTTATTATTTTTAACACACTGCATACCTAACGAGTTGATTTTCTACGCAGGTGACCCATATGGTTGGCGGTTAAATTATTGATATTAGTTTGAAAATATGATTTGCCGTGTTTTTATATATTATAGTTGCATAAATGTAGAGTTACGTAAGAGTTTGCTAGTATATAAATATTATACACTTTTACCCCCGGAATCGACTTCATATAGAGTTAATATGACGAGTGAAACTCGGTAGCAATAACAATACTGCGTGTGTCGGTGTAATTCCAAGCGGACGCGCCGCGTTAATATTATTTCTTCTGACGTCGCTCGTACCGCACAGCATTAGCAGCAGAATTCGCAACAGATGTGTGTTTCGCGGACGACTTACGTCCGGTGGCCAATGTACCGTGCAGACCTTTGCCGAGCTTTTCGACGCGATTAATTGACCGTGTCTCTCTATCTCTATTTCTCTCTCTCCACCCCCTCACCCCCGTCCCTTTACCCGCTCTTTCACCGTTTCGGGACAACGCCGTAGCGGTCGTGAGGGATTGATGCGCACGACGCACGAGAACCCGTCCGAAGTTAATTGAATATAAATAAATATATATCGTAAACGTGCACGCCCGAATGTACATGTCCCTTTTTCGGTGTGTCATCGTCACCGACTGCATCGTCCATTCATCCGTCGACGAGCGCGTACAACATTTACGTATCATACAATGTATTTTTACGTAAAATTGTACGTGTACAGTGTTTAAAGCAGTGTTTTTTTTTTCTTTCATTGTTCTGTCACTCGATAAATAATAATCCGTCCTCCCCTCTCCCGTCCCATATGTAAGTTGTCCCTCCTGTGTTGTTAAAAACATATAAACATGTGTACCATGTTTTTTACCATTTAAAAATGCACCCGAACCCCAAGGCAAACCTGCCAAATCATCCGATTTCGCACCATCGGTTGCGTTCCAACAAAAGATTATCACAGCAAGTGTTTTGCGAATTATACGCAGTGTTCGGCTATTAGAATACGCACGATCGTTTAACATACGGATACTATATAATGCCTCTGGTGACCGACCGAGGCCGAAACGGACTGTACCATCGGTCACGGGCGCGTATTCTGTATTCTTATATTTCGGTAGGGCTCGAATATCACAATAATATCACCACCTACTGTTCAATATTATACGTACACGCAATGTAAATTCACGAACGGACGAGATCCGTTTCGCCCAAAAATGACCCTACCCATTTCGCTCGGGTACCCGTTTCGCCCAAATTTTATTTTTATATGATTCCCGTTTCGTTCAGAGTAGTTTAGACCATTTTAAAATTAATTTGGCAATATTTTAATATTTTCGAATCATTTAGCGTTATCCAAAAAACACCACAAGGAGGCGATATTCTTTGTTTTCCAAAAACGTTTTGAAATAACCAAAAGTACCTATATAACGTAGCAGAACACGAACATTTTACACAACGCCAACGAATCTCACATGTATTTACATTATTTGAACCAAAATTGTATTTATAATTATTAAACATTACCATATCTTTGTCTCTTTTAGTTTTTAAAAACACAGCCATTTTAGTAAAATGCGTGTTATATTTACACGTCGACATCGCGTATACGCATTGACCACGATCAAAGATAATCTTTGTCGTCTATTACTTTTATAAGTTATAAGTAGGTACCTATTTTATACTAGATACGATAAGCTACGGTGATGATGCAGCGCGTTGATAAATTCATTTTTTCGGTGTGCTTTCGGTATGCGCTTTATAAGTTTTGCTCGATCTCAATTCAATAACGACTGAATTTCTTATGTGTTATTTGCTATCGATTTTATATATTGTTATTTATAAACGATATTTCTTTTCTTTCCTATCTCAATTACTCGTAATTTTATTACTAAATGTTTTTTAACAGTAGTCATTTAGGGATCAGAAACTTCAGCACCATTTCTTTTTGACGTTCGCTTATAATATTTTACAAAACTATTGCCAATTTAATTTTAAATTGGTTTAAACTACTTTAGGCGAAATGGAAATCATAAAGAAACACAATTTGGGTGAAACAGGTACCCGAGCGAAACTGTCAGGGTCATTATTGGGTGAAACGGGCTACGCCCTCACGAACGATGTTAAATAAGTCCATACCGGGTATCGAGAATTTTTTTTTTACAACGTTTCAACATGAATAATTTTTTATTTGCTTGTTTTATTTTGTCCGCAATGTTAAATAATTCATTTCCGTATTTGACTGTTAACGTTTAGATAATAATAACTTGAATAAGAAAAACGAAAGCGTGTTAAAATTGTCAAATTAGAAATATAACGAATTTGGTATCATGAAATCCTCCATGTTTTCAACAAAACTCCTTAGCATATAAAAAGGCATAGCAATTATTACAACTTCGAAAATAGTTTTAAAAATTACTCTCAATTTTTAGAAATTAACATAACATTATTAATTTTTACGATATTTATTGACAAGTAAATCAGATATTGTTATTGAGAATTTATTTCGAAGATAAAATTAAAATTAATGTACATTTCTACGAAAAATTAATTTTAGTGAAGTTACTTCTGAAATAATTTAAAAAAATCAAAAAATACCATTATAAGTTATTGTACTAGTAATTATATTAGTATTATTAGTATGAACATCAATAATTATAATAATATAGCATACTATTTCAGGACACAAGTAAAATCTTGTACAGAAGGGTTGTTTATAATTTTTCAAATTTTTCAAACAAAACATGTATTAATATTAGTTTTTTTCCCCAATTTTCGTTGATTTATGACCTTATTTATGCATACTTTAATGGTCAAAATTAATTTCTAGAAATAAAATGTAAGTGGTACCTAATATTAATTTTGGAAGTACGGGCGTTGAGAGTTTATTACATACGAGTATGCGTGTGTTTATTTTGATATAAAAATATAAATAAAAAAAAAAATGTATAAAATGTTGTAATTTAAATTTTAAATATTGATAATCCTATAAAAAGCTCTATGATTTATTGAAACTAATTATACTAACTTATTTATTTATTTCAGATTTATTAGTGTAGAGGGAAATAATTATGTTTAAATTGTATGTGTTATTTACGAGTAATATATTATATAATTAGCAAAATAAAGTTTTTAATTACGCAAACTAAAAACATGAAATAATTTTCAAGTATGTAATAGGTCGTTGTGTCAAGGTATTTTAAACCCAAGACCTTATATCGAAGATACAACCACATATAAGTAGATATATATCATTGAATTAAGAATTCGGTTTTGTTATAAAACATTGTATATAAAGTCTATAGAGTAGATTTAATTGGCAGTGAGCCGAAGGAAACACTACAACTTAGTT